TTTTGTGTGTTTCTGGGTTTTGGATTTATTGATGATTGGAGATTATATTTGTAGAGATTAGTTCAACATCAACCTACTCAGCATCCAACATCTGAGGAACTGAGCATAGGCAAAATCAAGTTCAAAGCTTTCGATTTGGGTGGCCACCAGATCGCTCGCCGTGTCTGGAAAGATTACTATGCGAAGGTATAAGGTGTTTCTTTTTCTTATGATTTTTATTGGTTTTACGTGGTGTAATGGTATTCAATTTTGAGGGATCTTCTCCATGATTTATATATCTTTGGGGGTTTGAATCTGTTTATAGATTGCCTAGTGGTGGGATGGTGGTATGTGGCTAATGGCAGCTATGAATATCTCTAATTTGTAGTCATTCCTGCTCAATTCAAATGCATGTAATTAGATGCTTTGTTATCAAACATTGTTGATATCTTCTTTAAACTGGTTAGTTTTTCTGTTCATAGGATTTGACTGGTAACACTAATTATTTGGCTTTAAAGCTTACAATGACAGATTTAGATTTGCGTTTTTTTTTCCCTCTCACTCGTTGCCTAATAATATAAACCTTTTTTTCCTGTGGTTTTATCTTATCACCTTTTGTTTTGGGATTTTTTATTTCAATGCTCACAATTGATAGAGTTGTTTCTGTGTTTCCAAGCAAAACGTTGTTTTCTTTTCTGCTTTCATTTACTTGTGCCATTTTCCAAGTGATTTGCTTGGATAAATGTTGGTTCTTATTGTGCCTTCATAATCCCAGATAAGCTTTCCTTATGTTTATCTGATTCATGGGAGGCAGATAACAACAATGGAAGTTTCGCTGATAGCACCTTTTATTTATTTCCTGGGAGGTGTCCTAATAGTAGCTTTCCGTACATTATTCTGAACTTGCCAAAGTTGTTTAGAAGAGGAGTCATCTTAAAATCATACATCCATCATAGTGAGTGCTGTTGGTGAAATTTATTATAGAGTTGGTTATGCCGGTTTCATTGGTTGTAGTTTGCTGTTTTTATCCATTTAAAAACAAATTCTTGATCAGCTATTGAGCTTAGCAGAAACCATCTGTGGATTTTCCAAAGGAAAGAAATGGTCATTGGTTTTGCCTCTTGTTTTCTCAAATTTCAAGGTAATTATTGGACCTAGTATTTCATAATCCTAGTAATAATTGTTATTACTAAGCTTCTGATCATCATATTTTTGCTAATTCCTTTCTCCTGGCTTCATCTCTTATGCTGATTTGGCACTCCTTTAGAAGGCATTACATGTGAAATTACAATGCTGCAAACCTTACATTTTATCTAGTGAGCAGGTTGATGCAGTGGTTTACTTGGTGGATGCCTATGACAAGGAGAGGTTTGCAGAGTCAAAGAGGGAGTTAGATGCCCTCCTTTCTGATGAAGCCCTGGCCAATGTTCCGTTTCTCATTCTAGGCAACAAGATTGATATTCCCTATGCAGCTTCAGAAGACGAACTTCGTTATCATCTTGGGCTGACCAATTTCACAACTGGCAAGGGCAAGGTGAATCTTACAGATTCCACTGTTCGACCCCTTGAGGTTTTCATGTGCAGCATTGTCCGCAAGATGGGATATGGTGATGGCTTCAAGTGGCTCTCTCAGTATATCAAGTAGAGAATTGAAGCTTTTCTTGTGCTGGCCCCTCTATATTCCTGCCATTTTTGCTGTGTCAGACTACAGTTACATTGAAAGGGAAATATTCATTTTCGTTATATGTTTCTGATTGGTACTCACTGCCAAATTTACTCCCTAGAGCTTTTGATTAGTTAACACTACCCGCAAATTGGCATCCTGAGCAAGTTTGCGTGAAGTTGTTGTTGTGATAGATTCTGATTCTTGCCAGTTGTTATTGTCATTGTGGAATCTCAAATAAATCTCGTCAATTGTGTCATCTTATGTAACCCAAACTTGGAAAATGACAATAAAAGAAGCAGATCCCCCATTCGTACGGCACCATGTCCTTACCAAGTGAATGCTTTCTGCTGCACTTGCCAGCATTATGGTTCTGTATTTGCTCCATCAAGAACTAAAGTCAGGTTCCTGCCTTCCAGCTTTGATTAGTTAAAGCCATGCCTGGGGTTTCTGCCAGCTTGGATTAGTTAAAGCTATGCCTGATTCCATTCTTTTGACCTGCTCATAGTTTACAATAGTAAGAGTCAGTCTCCAGCACTTGGCAACATAATGCTAAAAGACCAGATCGATGCCTCCTCTTTGACTGGTTCGAGGTTTAATCTTACTGGAAGTATGTGGTCATTGTACGTGCAATATTTGAAGTATTCAAATGAATTTTACCTATTGGCAATAGGGAGATTGCGCGTTGCATTACAAATTAAGTCTTAAGTTTAGGATCTTAAATTATAGATTAAGTTGTAAGTTTGGGACGAAATTTTAAATTATAAATTAAGTTATAAGTTTGGAACAACACTTTAAATTACAAATTAAGTCGTTTGAGACTTTGAGTTATAGCTTAAGTTGTAAATTGGAGATGAGACAAAGTAGACAAAATATTTATAAAATACTATCTCAAAGCCTTTTTACCAATTTAAGCAATTAAGTAGGGAGTCTCCTTCCATAGCTCGATACTGCTACTATTATTTCATGCACGTGTAAAATACACCAATGATTTGAATATTGATAAGTTAAGGGATCACCGTCTGATCTGATCTAACACACATCCTGTTTCATCAAGTAGAGCTTTACTTATATCATCAGATCTTTTCTTCTTCATACCACGTAAGCAATTATCATGAAACCATCATCACCAGTGGTTTCTAAAAATCAGCGGCCACGACAGCCTCATGACGCGTACCGACCAATCAAAGTCCTCCACCACGGTGAGCCTTTTTGAGTTTACCGGCGATTCCCTGTCACCTCTCTCACTCCCTTCCACCGTCCACGTCAGCAACGTCACCGGCCAAGCCAGTCCCTCATTGCCAGCTCATTACTATATATAAGTCCAAAATCCGGGAAACTCTTTCCAAAACCAGCCTCTCTGTTTTTTTCTTTCTTGTTTGTTTTCATTTCTTCAATTTTCTTTCTGTCAAAACAGAATTCAGAAAGGAAAGAAAATGTTTCTCGTAGATTGGTTTTATGGGATTTTAGCTTCACTTGGATTGTATCAAAAGGAAGCAAAGATCTTGTTTTTGGGACTTGATAATGCTGGAAAAACAACTCTGCTTCATATGCTCAAAGATGAGGTAAATTTTTTTATTAATATCAAATATAAATACCCTTTTTTTTTTCTCAAGCTAGTATTACTTGAGCAGTCTTGTTGTTTTTCTTCAATTTGTTAAGCCTTAAACTTATAAGTCTGCTTAGTTACTGAGAAAATTAAGGAAAATCCCAAAGCAACCTCCTTTTTTGAACTCCTTAGCTGTAAAAAGTAAGGAAGCAGCAGCTTAGTGTAGAAATTGTTACTATTTTACCAGTT